TGGAGGGTGCATATATATGAAAGAAAGTGAAAGGGAAAGTGATTAGAGAGAAGTGTAAGGGGATGGCAGTGAAACACGGGCAATTAATGTAGGGATGTAAATGACAATTGATTTGATAAGGGCATTGTTCATACTTCATGTATACTATAGACTTTCCCAAAATCAAATCTGGCTACGTGTCATGATTTAAGTGGACAATAGGAGAATGTCCGTCTATTCCAACTGACCGCTATTCCGCATCACACATTACGGAGTACATTACAAGCGCATCCTTCCTTTCCCTCGCTCTCTTTTGTGTATTTCCTTTGTTTTTTTCTACTTTTACCTATACTCCGTGTCTCCGTTTCGATTTTAAGCAGGGGTGATAAATAAATCGGGCTCGTCGAACCTATGCATAAAATTTTATGCCCAAACTCATTAAATAGTATTGGTATTGTTGGACCAAAGCGAGTTTTTTTTTGGCTTATTTTGGTCCAAGCTTGGGTTATGAATTGAACTAAAAATGCATTTTTTTTTGTTTGTCAAAAACTGTACTAGGCTAGATCAGGTTAGCGGATTGGATCACTAATGATCTCCTCTATTTTAACACTATTTGCATATACGGAGTATTCCTTTGATTATTTTTGAATAATTTATACGAATAACTTGTAACATTCTTCGTATTTTGTGTGTGGGGTGTGACCGCTTGTAAAAAACAAAGTAATCCATATAACACTGATCGAGTAACTCATGTTATATTGACTAAGTAGCCCCTAAAGTACTGATCAAGTTTCCCTATTATACTGACGAAATAACCCTTGTAGAACTGATCGAGTAACCTCTACAACACTAACGAATTTACCCTCACATATAAGAATTTTTGTAATATTATTATTATTATTACTACTTATAAATATGAAGTATAAATAATACGAGTAATTAAATATAAAATGTTGACAAATGTGAAATAAGAAAGGTTGCAAAATAACTGAGAAAATATTTACCTCGTTTTTGATATATTTCATTTGATTTATTTTTTTTTGAAAGAATTTCATTTGAATTTATGTTTTAATAAACTAAATTTATTACTATATATATATTTATTATTTGTATCTTATAAGGCAAAAACTAATGAATGCTCCATATGTCAGGGGGCGTTAAATAAGAGAAGAAAAGTAGAAATATTAAAATAAAATAAACATTAATTACACTAATTTACACATTATGTTGACATTTAATATATTTTTTAGGTGAAATGCTAACTTTTAGAAAGATAAGTGAAATATTAATATTAGTTATCTAACACTTCGAGAGCGCTCCTTAATATGATGATTTGATAATACCTTATTTGAAAAGATTAAATTTATTTTGCATAAACTTATCCTTTTTTTTTTTTTTTTTTTTTTTTTTAGTGGAATACCATCCTTCCTTTCTTTTTCCGCTCTTAACTACGTAGTACATTTTTATTTAATTAATTGAGTTAGGCTCTATTCTTTTGAATTGTTGCGGTTTGCTTTGCTGAAATCTGTTTTGAAGCTCAAAAAAACAAGGCCTTAAAGTGTTAAATTCACAAATGAACATTCTTTGATGTTTCATTTGAGTTATTTTAATTTTCATCTATAATTATTATATTTTTATTCATTATCTAAATGTAATTTTTACACAATTAATATAATCAATTTTCACATTTTTTTTAAAATCAAAACAACCTACTCTCTCCGTCTCATATTATACTTCTTGTTTTTCTATTATAGAGATCCCAAAATATTGTTTCTGTTTTTATTTTTGGATAGTATGTAAAAACCCTCATTTTTTTTAACTTTATTCATTACACTTCCTAAATTACCCTTAAATTTTTCATTTGACTTGTACTTTTTTCCACTTTCTCTTTCTAATTTTTTGTCTATGATTGTGTTTTTTATTTTTATTTATTTATTTATTATTTTTTTTTTTTTTACATTCTACTCTTTAACTTTTGTCTATAATTGTATTTTTCATTTTTTTTTTTATTTTTTTTTTATTTTTTTTATTTATGTACTTTATCCACTTTCTCCTCCAATTTTTTAAATATCGTGAAAAAACACAAACAGAAACTATATATTTAGACGGAGGGAGTATAAAATATATCCAGTGGCGGTAAAAATAACTTCACACACCGGTAAATGTAGTTAAATCCTCAATGACAATTAACAGTAAAAACCAAAGGAAAGGTAAGAGAGTAGGGAATAGGCTGCGGCAGCTGATGGAATAGGGGGAGTTGCATAGAACGGCGCAATGATTATTGATTGGTTGTGCCCTGCATTAATCCTTTTATGTGTCTATTCATCTTTCTTTTTCCGGTTACTCTCATCACCCCTTCTGTTTCTCTCCTTTTGATTTCGCTGCCAATACTCCCACTATTCCTTCTCTATTTTTTAATTTTTTACGATGTCAAGACACGTTTCTTTCTATTAGGTTTGGACACGCTTAGCTTAATTAGCTTATACAAAACATTTAATAAGCACAAATTTGCGTTGGAGTAGTATTTCATGCGACTATTAGATCTTAGATTAGTGCCTAATGTGTAATGTGACACAAATGCCACCCTTTGCACACACAACTCTAATGTACAACCTCCGAATCTCCTATTCATGCCTACAGAGATATATATGTAAGTTCGTGTCTTTACTTCATGCGCACTTTACTTTGTATACGTAACAAATAATTTTCTTAACCTTTTGATAGGCCTTGTACCCAATTAACATTTGAATAAATGTTTGTTAGAAACTTCAAATGTGTAATTTGTTAAGAATATAAGATCAATCTATTAAACTTATGTGTCCATGGACATACGTTAGAAAATCCGAAATACAACGCTAAAAAGTAAGGATATCTAATATCTTTGGCCGAGATTTTATTTGATAAATCATAGCATAGCCAAAGTATGATATGGTATGGAAATATTTAAATATCTTATTATTTTTTTTTTTAATTTTTTTATCTTACAAGGAGCTAGGATGTGGTATAAAATGATTAACAACTACTCCCTCATTTCTTTATATTTGCAACATACCCCTTTTCACGGTATTTAAGAAAAGTGAGACTCATATGATTTAATACAGTTAAAATGAGGATGAGAGATGGTTAAGAGTATAATATACTGGGCCACGAGGTTAAAATAAGGGTAATAGTACAATTTTTAACAAAAATACTTTCTAATTATAATGTGTTGTATGTATTGTGACATTTTCATTTTAAAAAAGTGTTGCAAATATAAAGCAGCGGAGGAAGTAGATTTTAATTATTCATATAGTCGAAGAGACCACAACTATCTAAGATTTTTCCTCAAATACTAACAAAGCCAAGCAAATTTGTTTCCAAAGCAAAGGCAAAATCTTGCCCACATAGCTTCATTTTCGCATGTTTAACAGGTGTTTACTTTGAAGGTGGGGGTGGGAGGTGGAATGTTATAAGTATGGGCTATTAGTCCTGTTGTAACACTAACATTGCACAACTAGCTGGTGCTACTCGTTTCATGGAGAAAGCATTTTGCTTCTATTTCCCAATAACTTATCTCCTTTCAATTTCACTGTAATGGTCTACTATACACTGATTTTTGTTATAATAATTGGTAAGAAAAGTCAATTTTAGGATTTGGTACCACATATACAAGTATAACCACAACTAGTTCTTGCTTACACCAATGCATCGGTGTAACTTGTACAAGCCATACTACCATACAGTGTCATTACATACAATTCGATCAATCTGTCGGACTATACATCAAATCAATTAGTCGTTTCATTAATCAATTTGTTACATATGTGTGTTGATTATTCTTGATATTCTAAATTTAAATATGTAACGTATTTTATCATAGTAAACAAAAGAACTGAATAAATCCGATATCACTGTCAACTAAGTAACTAACTATGTTAAAATGAGGTTAATTTTGTTAGAAAACCTACAAGAAAAAGGGCATGATGAGACCTCATATTAGTCACATATGACATTTGATACACAAATAAGCTGAGTAAGATATACGACAGTTTGGGGGCAAAAAATAATGCTACAATAATTAAAAAGAAACAAAGAAACAGGCAAATTGATGGAAGTGTCTTGGTTGCTTAATAGAGTAGTCAACATGTTGTTCCCCTCTTCGTCGTCACCCTCAATATCGTTAAGGGGAGGTTGGAGGGGCCAGTTCCCCACACCAAAAGAATCTTCCCTTCATTTGAAAATGACCCTTTATTGTTGATTTTTACATATACGGTAACCTTCCCTTCTCACTTTTCATTTTCGTTCTTGCTTCATTTTCTACGCGTAGTTGTTCTTTGGAATTACTATTCCCACTTGTTCCTCTTTATACAAGTCTTTAGAACGTGGAGATCAATCGTTTATCTTGATGAGACTAAAGAGATGATTGCATATAAGGAGTTAAAAGCGAGAACATACATAAAGTAACATTTAGTTTGTATTGGTTGTCATGTAAATTTGTTTAATCTAGCCAAAGTAATATGAAGTACGGAGTTAAATCACACAAAGAAGTGAGAAATTAAAATCATTTATAAGGATGGGACATTGGTAGAAAAACATCCTAAATTCCTAACATTTGTTTTCAAACAAATTTCAATGAATTGGATTTACACAATTTTATGGTCTTTGTGGAGTATTGTACTCCTTTAGGATCCGGCTCGTTAGGCCCATTTTCTACATTATGAAAACGGCCCACTATTTGTTTGGATGATTAAAACCTCAGTTCCTCAAATGAGCTGTTGTACTTCAACAGATTTTTGCCTTTACAACACTTTTTTCTCTTGTGATAATACATTTCATTTCTTTTAGCTATTAGTTACTAGCGTAGCTATTGTGTAAAATGATCGAAGTAGACGTTGATATAGTGTATTACGTGGTGAATTTTTTTACATCAGGGTATAGTCAAACTCCCTCCCTCCACGACATAGCTCAAGAATCCACCCTCATCACTTATCGCCACCTCTATCCCTTCGCTTTCCTTTTGTTCAAACTAATGGTATATTTAGCGAATTAGTGTAAGGTTTGTATTCAAAGGGAAAATTCGGGCTTGACATTCTTATGTATATATCTCTTTTTTATTACATACTTATTTTCATTATTATGTAAACTATATACTTCTAGTTTTATTATTCTATAACACAAGGAAATACATACAAGTACAACTTATAGCTTAGGCACATTTTTCCATTTAAATTTATTTCCATTGTGTATCATCACAAGGAGAGCAAGCCTCTTGAGCAATATCAGTGATTTGAACTTTTGTGTCATATATAACTCCGGGCTTCCAATCTGCTGGTAACACATTTTTGGCCCAAATATTTTTGCCATCGTAGCCCGATGTTACAACAAATCTGAACTGCAAAGGCCCATTTGGTGCCTTGCTTGTGTCCCACACTATTCCATGATTCCGGCTCATGAAAGTCCAATTTGGTGAACCAACCTATTATTTCATACACAAACACAAAAATTAAAGTTTATTAAGGTATCATTAATGTGAACCAACCTATTATTTCAATACAAACACAAAAATTAAAGTTTATTACATGTGAACAAATATTCTTAAAATGTGGGCTAATGTTTTTGACATGCAAGTTCTATTTTTGAATTTTATATTTTCCTAACCTCTCATTTATGGAGATATCCCTAGTTTGCAAATTAATAAGTAGATGGATGAATATCACTAAACTTGTTTAACTACTTGCTTGTATGCTTGAAGAAATAGCTGAAGTACTTTTCACAATATGCAATGGTTACCTGAGCAACGTCGATTGCTACAATTTCTGTTTGACCACCTTGGTAGAGAATTTTAATTGCCAAGTAACCAGGATTATGGCTAGACTCGTCAACTCGAATAGCCAAATTTTGACCTATATAATCACACGGGATCCTGTTATGCATATATGTAAAATGATGTAAGAACAATATTAACCTTAATATTTTCTACGCCATACTTAAGATTAACTTAGAATATGTTCACCACAAATCATGTTTTTGCATTTTTGAAAATTATCAATATCGATAGAACATATTCTTTCACACTTGTAATTGTTTTCAATGTATCATTTCACATTCATAAATATATTCGAAGAATATAAGCAAGATAACATAAAAATTTGTTGAGAGATTTAACCTTTTATATTCCACGTCAGTAATTCCAAGCTTCTCAACATCGAGGTCCTTTCCAGGGTTGGCCATGGCTTTGAAAGCTCGATTACTTAGAACAAAATCATTTTTGTTATTTGTATTCAAATCAGTCAATATCACTTTAGTTCCTGCCTTACTACACAGATAATTATCTTTGCATCTTATCTGCCATAACAAAAATCCCAAAAATAACTGATTTTAGCACATAGTATAACAATATAACATCAGTGATCAACTATGTTACTAAAGCATACTCGTACTAACGGTCCATCTAAATTTAGTTGTCACAATACAATTTTAAACGACAATATCAACGTGACAACTAATCTCGAATATAAAATACCTGAAAGCATGCACCACAGCCAGCACCATCGTTATACAATTTAGAGACACCAGCTGCAAGAAATCCCCTGTTTAAGTTCAAAGCCAACGAACCATACCCACATGCTCCAGCTGCATCAAATCAACAAATTAATAAAAACCCACTTAATATTATGATCAAATATCATCTGGGTCGTCCTCAATATATACTAATTACATCCACTTCAATCAAAATTCAATATTAAAAAATCAATAAAAACAGGGGAGATATTTATTTACATGAAAGTGGTGAATCATTATAGAAAAAAGCAGCCTTTGATCGATGAACACAACGATCACAAGCTGTTACAGATGATACAAAAATTATTATAAAGATGAAGACGACAAATTCCGCCATATTTGATTAATTTTGTGGAATATTTTGAATTGTGTTAGAAACTATTGATTTAATTCACACATATATATATATATAGAAAATTACGCATAATATAGAAAAAATAAAAATAAAAATGGTGTACAGGTAAGCAAAAAGAGGGAGAAAATGAGATATAAATAATGAGGTAAGTTTGTTGAGGGGTTGAAGGAAAAAGACAGGGGAAATTGTGCAAACGCGGAAAAATGGCGGCGAAAAAAGAAAAAAAGAATGAGGACGATGAAAGTGAGTGAATATGTAAAACAGGGCACTTAGTTACTGGTTTTTGTTGGTGGCCATTATCTAATGTGCTGTCTTGACTATTGACAATTACCCAATATTTCATTTGTTTTATATTGAATGATTATGATATTGTTATGATTAGTGATTTTGTTATTGGAGTATTAACTTATTATATTAGGGCATGTGTAATCCTACTTAATTGCTTATATCATCATGTTTCATTCTATTATGAGATGGGTGTAAATTAATGTTTAATCTGCTAATAGTGATGAATGTGTAATTGATTTAAATTAATGTTCACTCATAGTGATGAATTTGTAATTGATTTAAATTTAGATACACTCATAGTGTGATGAATTTGTAAGGTTCATGTTAATAATTTTCTATAGTTTAAAGTAGGGGTTACTTTCTTTACTTTTCTATTATTAACTATTAACACCTTATGATTTGAGTCTTGTTCAGTATGTAATTGTATAGGTAGGTAGTTGTTAGATATGGTAGTAATGGTTAGTTATGCGAATAACGGTTAATTGTCTTAAAATCTATCTATTAGCATGAATGATGATGAATTGATAACTATAGCTCACAATTTTTTCCCAAAATTAATGGTTTTCGTGAGTTTTTGTCAATGTATACACAATTGCAAAATCTATCATGAACTCAATCAGTAACGGATCTTGAATCAATAAATCGAGTTGCTTAAAATATAAATAATGTTGTAATAATAAACAATTACAGTATTAGACAAACTTGGAAAAGGACAAAATGAGACTAACGACAAAACATGCTTGAAAGTTGATTTTTAAGGTATTGCCATATTGATGACTGATAAGTAAAATAGAAGACAATCTACTAGACTTACACACTTACTATCATCCGTATGAGACCCGGCTAATAGTCCACACCTAGTAACCATGATGATGATTGGTGAATCATGTATGTTTCATGAATTGCTGAATTTGCATTGTTAGAACTTTGAAGTGACTTTAGGACATACTTCGTATTCAAGACATTATAATGTTAGCTCTAGTACTTTGAAAACTTCAAGATCAAGCATTGATAGTTTTGTTATTATGAAGCAAGCTAAAGCTATGCAACAAAATCGCTTGGCTTGATGTTTAGCAGTTAGCAAAGTACGAGTAATCTAGATGGGTGAGTTATATGTTTTCGTGCCTAAGGCATACATAGGTATAATCAATGACGACCGACTATAAAGTATCATAATCTTAATATTGTCGCTTTTTAAAAGTGTCCATAGTAATGTTCGAGTGTGAAGTATTAGAGTTTGAATATTGACACTAATAAGAAGTGTCCATATGTACGAGTATACGACCTACCTATTTGTTTCTTAGCCAACATTATGAAAACCAAGCTAATAATAGCGATATGGGGTGCTTTCTTAGCAATACTTGTAAGCAATAACCAGACAATATCTCTTGTTTACATCTTGATCCAAATAATTGATCAATCGTATTCAATGTTGTTTATCCACATAATAATTGGTTTGATGCACTGAAATGAGAGATTCAAATTAACAAAGGAAAAATAGAAACAAATAATTCCGAGTAATTTTATTAGTTGATAACAAACTTATGTTTAAAAATAATCAATCTACTTTGCTAATAGGCCAAAAAAAAAAAAAAATCAGAAATTTAAAGTCCTATACAGATGATGAAATAATTAAGTAGAGAGACTAATTCCAGTGGCTATCAGCACAAGGGGTGCAACCTTGTAATGCAATGTCATCAATTTGAACTTTAGAATCATATGTGACTCCTGCCTTCCAGTTTGCAGGTAAAACATTTTGAGCCCAAACGTTCTTGCCATCGAAGCCCGATGTCACGACGAATCTGAACTGTAATGGACCAGGGCCCGGATACTTGGTTGTTTCCCAAATTGCTCCGTACTTCCTATTCATGAATGACCAATTTGTTGAACCAACCTGTAATATATTATATGCAACATGTTTAACACCATAAGAAGAAAATATATACATACATAGTGTAATCAATCTAGCATTCTAGCTAGCTTACTAATGTTTTTGACATACCCGAGCAATATCAATTGCAACAATCTCGGTTTGACCACCTTGGTAGAGAATATTGATAGCCAAATAGCCAGGGTTTTTACTAGTTTCTTCCACGCGAATTGCCAAGTTTTGACCTTTATAATCACAAGGTATCCTGGTGCACATTACGTTCAAGTTAGATACCAAACAAGCATGGAACCTACAATTAACATGTATTACATTCTTCTTAAGAAAAAAACCATCAGAAGACCTTCTCATGAAGGAAAAACTTAATACATTATTCCTTATCAGTTTTACTATAATAGACATTAGACAACACACTAGTATATGTAGATATTCTTCTACTTGTACATTTCAATATATTCACATTTAGATCGAGTAGATGTATTTCTAAGTCCACACACCGTACATGACTAATGACTTCTGCGTCTCTTGTTGCTCGTTCATGACCGTTGATCATAAATGCAACCAAGTAATAAGTCAACCGAGTAATCGTTTGAACATGTACTTTAATTCTCTAAAACGGGCCTAATATGGGCAAATTAGAGGGCCTACAATATCTGAGCGTGGAGTGAAGTTAGAGTTAAATTAAATAGACATTGCGCATCTACAACATGTGCATTAAAATTTTAGACAAACTAGTCAGGTTAACATTCAATGTGTGCTAGTTGTAACTTCGATTGTTCAATTTTAAAGCATAAAGAATGGACTAGTACATTTTTGGTTGGCTACAGCCCATAATATTTTATACGTTGGCTGTCACACCATTGGACAAAATGCCAAGGTCAATAATAATATCTTGACAATTGACAAATCTCTCAATATCCGCTAGAAAATTTAAAATAAAGATGTGCTACATAAATTATTAGACCTCTAGGCCAATGTTCACAAATTATGAAATTAGCAATGATTGCCATTCGAGTGTAACTAAGCAACCTTTTCCAAAAGGATCCAAACAAGTGAGTAAAATCTAATATCACAAAGACACAAATTGTTAAGAGTATGATCCAATTTCAACATTGACTAGACCCAAGTCACCCGACCTGTCCTATAATCACCTACGTAGTATATTTTACCTTGACCACGGTGAATAAAAGTGAACTCATTTAAGAAGTGTACATCAATCAAGCTTGCATGAACCAAACAAAATACGTGATTGGGATACACCCGAGACATAAAAAATGGAACAGAGGATTATATTTCGTTCTATCAGTGGTACGACGTATGATTAGTTAATTGGGTTATAGCTATAGCGTTACCTCTTATATTCAACATCAACAACTCCAAGTTTAAGAATTTGTTGGTCCTTGCCATGTAAAGCCATGGCCCTTAATGCCCGGCTGCTTAGCACAAAGTCAGAGCTGTTGTTACTCTTATTAACATCAGTCATTATCACTTTAGTTCCTGCTTTACTACACATTCCACTGTTTTTGCATCTTATCTGATCATCATAAAATTAAAATAAATATATTAATACTCAATTAATCAATCAAATAACTTTGAATTAATTTGATCATACTTAATAAAATTAGTAATATACCTGAAAACAAGCACCACAACCAGCACCATCTTTGTAAAGAGAAGGAATACCAGCTGCCACGTGTCCTCCATTGAAGTTCAGAGCTAAGGAACCATACCCACATGCTCCAGCTACATCAAATCAAAAAATTAAAGATTACCCACTTGTTTATTTGCCAAATTATTATCTGGGTTAATCTTAATTTGAGCTAATTTCAACAAAAATCATCTGGGTCTAAAAAAAAGCTAAAAATAGTAAGAGAAATCAAAACTTACAAGAAAGAGTAGAAGCTCTGGTGATTACTGATGCTTTTGATAAAACACACTGATCACAACCACTTACATATGAAACGAACAAGAACAAAATCAACCAACTTAAATTCGCCATTTTTTTTTTAATAAAGATTGTATTTTTCAGCATAAAAGTATATAGTTATGTGTTTGTCTTAACTGAAAGTGATGTGCTTTCTTTTTTTTTGAAATAAAAAGTGATGTGCTTTCTTATTTATAGGAAAAAAAAAAGAGGATAAATTTGCTTTGTAATTACTATTTTTATTTTTTATTTAATGTAGTACAGTAATTAGGAAGGATCGAAGAAGATAAAGCTGAATCAGCAAATAAACGCGTAAAAAAAAAAGAAAAAGAAAAAAAGGGAGAGAGAGTGTGAAAAAATAGGAGTCACCGACCTCTGAGAAATTAAGGCGGTCGGACAAATTAAGCGAAAGTAAGTGAAGTGTTTGACAGTGAGACAAGCGGTCAAGTGGGTGTGTGGTGTGAACACTGACAGCAAGGTTTATGGTTGGTTTTGCTACGAACAATTATTTTGTTACTTGAAACTTTGAAGTGAAGCTTAATTCATCTATTTATGATGTTCCTAAGATCAAGGTCATTTTGGGATTTAGATGAGTGTGGATTTGATTGTGAGAATTAACTCTCATGTTTTGTTATTGTATGTTATCGCCTTATCGGTGTTGTTTGGGTCCAATTTAGTCCAATTGGGCCTGGTCACTGAATGATCCAATTAAAAGCCCAAGGCAAAGGTTCAACTCTCCAAATATGCTAAAGTCAAAAATCAACATCCTCAAAGCCATGTCAAGGTCAGTCAACGGCCCAATCAGCTTGGCCCAGCCCAACTGATTTCCGGGCCCAATCCGCCTCCTTCATTAGCCAAGGTATAAAAGCCAACAATTTGGTCAATTCTTGGTAAGAAAAAAGAGTAAGACAAAGACAAAGACAATAAGCCTCAAGCAACTAAACTCTTGCACAGCTTTCTCTCTCTAATATACTGACTTAAGCATCGGAGGGGCCTTCCTCGGCGTCCCCCCCGAGGCTAGTTTACGTGTATTTGTTGTGCAGGAAACCCTCGGCTCCGGCGTCGTTCGGACCGAGACCAAGTTCCCTCGGAAGATAAAAGGATCTTCCGAGATTCGATTGTTTTCATCCGAAACAATTTGGCGCCGTCTGTGGGGAACGCTACTAAATTTCGCGTCAGTCATCAAACACTCCGGCAGTCGCCATGACTAAGAGTGGAAAGAGTTCCAAGAAGGCTAAGAAGGGAGGAGGCCGGATTACGGTGAGGGAACGCCAGCCGGTTTATCCCTCCCCGGAGCAAGCCTCTTCCGAATCGGAGGCCCCCATTTCTCCGGAAAGGGAAGCCTCAAGAGGTCCTAGCCTCCAGGAGGAGAACACCTCGCACCACACTCGGCAGCCGGGGCCATCCCCGAGACCGAGTGGCTCAGGTGCGAGGAACTCCCCGCCGCGCCATAGCGTGCAATCCAGGTCACATCCGCGGGAGACTCCTCTCTCCGGACCCTCCACCGAGGAAGTGGCCAGAGCAGTGGCCATCTGCATGGAGTTCCTTAAAGCTCAAGGGGCTCCAATCCAGATGCCTGATGATCACCAGCCGAGAAACCTGAAAAGGAGGATCGGTCAGGATGATGGTGGACAAGTTCCACCACATAGACAGCTCGGCCAGAGGTGGCGAGGGGACACCCGAAACTCCAGTAAGGAGAGGAGGAGGAACCCTCAACCCTCTGACCACTCCGAAGCTCAGAATTCCATGGGGCCCTCCAAGGACCCGGAATTCGCCCGCCGAAGCGTTCACGAACGCTTGGGTTCGAGGGAGGTGAGTGTGCATAGCCGCCTCACCTTCCCAGAGGATACCGGACCCCACCCAACCTTGTCTCAGCCGGGGACGAAAACCACTTCCACCTCTGAGAGAGGAGGGAGCGAGGTCCCTAAGGCCGGGTACAAGGGGAAGGCGGTCATGGTTCCATCGAACTCGCCCTTCCAGAAGTGGATTCTGGAAGAGCATGTGCCAACGGTCAAAATCCCGGCACATATTACTTACGATGGTACCTCAGATCCTAAGGATCACATTGCCTCTTACGAGGGGCACATGTATCTGAACCCGAGGTCTGAGGCTACCTGGTGTAAATACTTTCCTACGACCCTCAAAGGTGTTGCCCAATCCTGGATCACCAAAGGGCTCAAGGAAGGCTCCATAACCGGTTGGAACGACCTCTCCAACAAGTTCAAGAGCAAATTCTCTACGGCCAACCGCCGAGAGAAGACCACTGCAGAGCTAATGAGTCTGCAGCAGGCGGAGGACGAGAGCCTCCGCGACTATCTGACTCGCTTCAGCAACGAGTCATCCGGAATCACAAGCCTGGATCAAGGCCTGGCCGTGTTCGCGCTACGGAACGGCCTCCAAGCTGGAAAGTTCCTGGACTTCATGGTCATGCATCCCCCGCAGACCCTGGAGGAAGCCTTGGAAGCATCGGATAGGTTCATCCGAGCCGAGGAGTGGAACAGATCCAGGTCTCAGTCTCGTCCGAGAATTGAGAAGCCGAAAGGGCAGCAGCCCGAAGTCTCGGCGCAGAGGAAAGGGAAGGCTAAGGCCTCAGAACCGTCCTCTGCTGCCGAGCCGAAGAAGGAAAGACACTTTCCCTACACGGGAAGGTACGATTCATACACTCCACTCTCCCTTCCCCGTGCTAAGATTTTCAGCACGACGAAGGACGAGGGGAGATTCAAAAAACCTCGTCCGTTGCCTCCCTGGCATCAGACGAGGGGAAAGGACCAGTGGTGCGAGTTCCATGACTCACCCGGACATCGCACCGAGGACTGCGTCCAGCTGAAGGACCAGATTGAGGATCTGGTCCGCAAGGGGTACCTGAGCCGATACCTCGCGGACAGGCGCGAGGAGAAAAAAGCTGAAAAAGATTCTCGGCAGGACCTCAACTTCGCTCGGAAGAAGGATAAGGGACCTCAGGGCAAGGAGTCCCTCGACATCCTAGTTATTTCCGGGGGAATCTCGCGAGGCACAGCCAAACGCCAACTGAGGGGTCTAACCCATCAGATTCATCAGGCTGAGCTTCGGCAGTCCCAGTCACCGGCGCCGAACATCCTGTTCACAGCCGAAGACTGTGAGGGGGTGGTATACCCCCACGATGACCCACTAGTAATCATTCTGGGCATCGCCAACCGCAACGTCTGGCGGACCCTCGTCGACGGCGGTAGCGGGGCGAACATCCTCTTCCGAGGAGCGTTCGACCAGCTGAGGATGGGAGCCGAGCACCTGGACCCCGCACCCTACCCGGTGTCTGGATTCAACGGCTCTTCATCGTATCCTGACGGGAAGATTACACTTCCTGTCACCATCGGCGAAGGCCGAGCAGCTAGGAATATCATGGCCGAATTTTTGGTCGTAGATGCTCCATCTGCATACAACGTGATCATGGGGAGACCCCTCATTCACGGCATTCAAGGAGTCGTCTCCACGTATCATCAAATCATGATATACGTTTCAGACGAGGGACGCTCCGAGAAAATAAAGGGCAGTCAAAAAGAAGCCCGCCGATGCAATCACCTCAAGCCATCCACGTCTCGCCGAGGCGACCGTGGCGATGGGGAGGAAAAGCACCGGGACCGAAACGCCAAAAAGCCGAGAGGCTCAGACGTTTCGGCTAATGAAGCCCCAGACAACGAGAAATCTGATGGGGGCCAAAAGGCTGACTCCGCCTCAGAGCCGAACGACTCTGATGGCCAGCCGCGGTCAGGAAAGTCTGCTAATATTGATAGCAGGCCGGAATTCGAGGAATCCAACTCTAAGAGCATGGAGACGGATGACCTGACCGAGTCAATAGAACTGACCGTAGGAGATCCGAACAGATGTGTTAGCATCGGGTCGTCACTGGAGCCAGACACCCGTGCGGCACTCGTCCAACTCCTACGGGCCAGTGGAGACGTGTTCGCCTTCTCAGCCGCAGAAATGCCCGGGATTGATCCGGACTTCGTCTCCCATAGGCTTAATGTCGACCCCTCCAGTCGACCCATTAAGCAGAAAAAGCGGAACTACTCCGCCGAAAAGAACCAGAACATCGCAGCTGAGGTCGATAAGCTCCTAGATGCTGGGTTCATTGAACCCTGTCAGTATCCGGAGTGGCTGGTCAATGTTGTAATGGTTCAGAAGGCAAATGGTAACTGGAGGATGTGCGTTGACTTCACGGACCTGAATAGGGCATGTCCCAAGGACTCCTATCCGCTGCCGAGGATCGACCAACTGGTCGACTCGACAAGCGGGCATGCTCTGCTCAGTTTCATGGACGCATTCTCGGGATACCATCAGATCTTCATGCACCCCGAGGACCGAGCTAAAACAGCGTTCATAACAAGTTCCGGGTTGTACAATTACAGAATGATGCCCTTCGGATTGAAAAATGCGGGGGCAACATATCAGAGGTTGGTTGATCAGGTTTTCGCCGAGCAAAAAGGCCGAAACATGGAGGTTTATGTTGACGACTCAATCGTCAAAAGCATAAAAGAAAAAGATCATGTCACGGACCTAGCCGAAACCTTCGCCACCCTCAGAAAATACAAAATGAAGCTGAATCCGAAGAAATGTGTCTTCGGCGTGAAGTCAGGCAAGTTCCTCGGCTTCATGGTCAGCAAGAGGGGGATTGATGCAAACCCCGCCAAAGTACAAGCTGCTTTAGACCTCCCCGAGCCGAAGACAAAAAGGGATATTCAGCGTCTAGCCGGGAGAATGGCTGCCTTGTCCAGGTTCATCTCACGAGCCTCAGACAAAGGGCTCCCTTTCTTCAAGGCGCTGAAGCTCCAAAATTCAAAAGGCATTGAATGGGGAGACGAACAAAAGTCAGCCTTTCAGCAGCTCCGTGAACACCTGGCTCAACTCCCAACACTGGCAAGGCCAGTTGTAGGAGACATCCTATACTTATACGTGGCGGTCAGTCCAGCCACGGTAAGCGCGGTGCTGCTAAGGGAAGAAGAAAAAGTTCAACAGCCGATCTATTTCGTCAGCCACACCCTGACGGATGCCGAGACGCGCTACCCATTGTTAGAAAAAGTGGCTTATGCAGTGGTGGTGGCTGCTCGGAAGTTGCGACCCTATTTTGATTCTCATCAAATAGCGGTTCTAACTGATCAGCCGTTAGAGAAAGTCCTCGGCAAGGTTTGAAAAATCCGGTAGA